AGGTAGTTTAGGCCTAAATAATAGAAACAGTCAAAGTGGTAATATAGGCCTAAATAATACAAAGTCATACTGGTAGAATAGGCCTAAATAATACAAACAGTCATACTGGTAGTATATAGGCCTAAATAATACAAACAGTCATACTTGTAGTATAGCCTAAATTATACAAACAGTCATATTGGTAGTTTAGGCCTAAATATTACAAACAGTCATACTGGTAGTATATAGGCCTAAATAATAGAAACAGACATACTGGTAGTATAGGCCTTAACAATAGAAACAGACATACTGGTAGTATAGGCCTAAATAATAGAAACAGTCAAACTAATAGTATAGGCCTAAATAATAGAAACAGTCATACTGGTAGTATATATCTAAATAATAGAAACAGTCATACTAGTAATATAGGCCTAAATAATAGAAGAGTCATTCTGGTAGTATAGGCCAAAATAATAGTAACAATCATACTGGTAATTTAGGCCAAAATAATACAAACAGTCATACTGGTAGTATAGACCAAAATAATAGTATCAGTCATACTGGTAGAATAGGCCTAAATAATACAAACAATCATACATATGCAAAGTATGATAAGAATCCCATAAGTCATGTAGTTCCTGAGATTAAGCGCTGAAACTCTTTACATCGGAAAAATAATTAAAAGAATAATAAAAACTAGAATTGCAAATGCGAGCAATAGCGAAAGTCACACCCACCCACCCCCACCCCCCACCCCTTCTCCCCCCTGCTAATTATATAGCCATTTTGTTTTTTACATAGCACAAACACTGGAGTTGTGTTCGTAGTGCCATACTACACCTACATACATGTACCAAATTTCATCACAATTGGATGATATTTAAATTTCGACCAATGAGAGGCCAGGAAATGGCAGTCATATCGTCGAAATGTGAAACTCACGCTACGAAAGTGACCGGTGTACCATGATATACCTACATAACAAATTTCATGAAAATCAGACAATATCGAAAATTGGACCAATCAGAGGCCAGGAAATGACAGCCATTTTTTTTTTAAAAAAAAGAACACCGCAGTTGTGTTTGTAGTGCCAAACTATACCTACATACAAAATTTCATCAAAATTGGACAATATTTTTATTACGACCAATCAGAAGCCTACATTTGGCTGCCATTTTGAATCCAAAGTCAATTATTTTTTTGTCAAAAATGAGCGCTGTGATGTTTTCATTCCTTTCACCGAGTTTCATTATGTTCAATCGAATATTACAAAAGTTATTACTGGTGATATGATTGTGCGTTGAATTTTTGACCAATCAGAGCCCAGGAAATGGCAGCCATTGTGTTTTTTCACAAAACAAACACCGCAGTTTTGTTCGTAGTGCCATACTTCACCTACATACCAAATTTCATCGAAATTGGACGATATTTAAATTTCGACCACTCAGAAGCCTGCAATTGGCCGCCATTTTGTATCCAAAGTGAAATATTTTTTGTCGAAAACGATCTGTGTGACGTTATCATCCTTTTAACTTAGTTTCATTATGTTCCGTCAAATAGAACCAATGTTATTACTTGATATGATTTCGGCAAATCAGAGCAGCGACGGCCATCTTTGATGGTTGACGCGGAAAAACAAGAGTCAGATGCACAACTATAATTTGTACTTTCTATATATGCAAAGTATGATAAAAATCCCATTAGTAGTTACTGAGATTAAGCGCGGAAACTTTTGACGGCGGAAGAATAATAATAAGAACTAGAATTGCAATTGCGAGCAATAGCGGAAGTCACCCCCCACCTGCTAAGTATGCAGCCGTTTAGATTTTTTCACAAAACGAACACTGCAGTTGTGTCGGTAGAGCCTTACTACACCTACATACCAATTTTCATTAAAATTAGACGATATTTTAATTTCGACCAATCAGAGGCCAAGAAATGGCAGCCATTTTGTCGAAATGTGAAAGTTAGGTCAAGAAAGTTATCGGTGTACCATGATATACCTATATACCAAATTTCATGAAAATCAGACAATATCGAAAATTGGACCAATCAGAGGCCAGGAAATGACAGCCATTTTGTTTTTTTACAAAAAGAACACAGCAGTTGTGTTTGTAGTGCCATACTATACCTACATACCAAATTTCATCAAAATTGGACGATATTTTTATTACGACCAATCAGAAGCCTACATTTGGCCGCCATTTTGAATCTAAAGTCAATTATTTTTTTGTCGAAAATGAGCGCTGTGGCGTTTTCATCCCTTTCACTGAGTTTCATTATGTTCGATCCAATAGAACGAATGTTATTACTGGTGATATGATTTCGCGTTGAATTTTTGACCAATCAGAGCCTAGGAAATGGAAGCCATTTTGTTTTTTCACAAAACAAACACCGCAGTTGTGTTTGTAGTGCCATACTACACGTGCATACCAAATTTCAACGAAATTGGACGAGATTAAAATTTTGACCAATCAGAAGCCTGCAGTTGGCCGCCATTTTGAATCTAAAGTGAAATATTTTTTGTTGAAAACGATCGTTGTGATGTTTTCATGCATTTCATTAAGTTTTATCATTTTCCGTCAAATAGAACGAATGTAATTACTGGATATGACTTCGGCCAATCAGAGCAGCGGCAGCCATCTTTGATGGTTGACGCGGGGAAAAAAAAGTCAGATGCACAACTACAAATTGTACTGATAATATATGCAAAGTATGATAAGAATCCCATTAGTAGTTCCTGAGATTAAGCGCGGATAAAAGCGGTGGAAGAATAATAATAAGTAAGAAACGGAACAATAACAACAAGTCACCCGACTTCGTTCGGGGTGACTTAATCAATAATAAGAAATGGAGTAAACACAATATGTCCCCTCACTTCGTTTGGGGGACATAATAAAAACTGACTACAATTGATAGGTTAGGTCTCACCAGGTAATCTTAATTAACAACCAGTTTTAAAAGACATTGATTGTTACGTCATTGGTTTGTGTGAGAAAATTACGTTGTTTTCTCAAAAATTGATGACGTTACATTCACAAACAAATGACGTAACAATCAATACCTGCTCACAAGAGAAGATAACTCTGCAATACGCAAAGACGGAATAAAGTTGAGCAGTTCACATTCAAGTTAACTTTTTTTATTGTCCTATTTGGCAACCGTACTGTGGAAAGCATGACCGTCGAATACTGATGAGTTCTAGGCAGTGTATCAAAGACAATCGACCTTTTTCAGAATTATGGCAATAAAAAGTAAATGACTTAACTGGTAAGGCTAGGAATAAAAATTATTTCACATGATCCATAAAAAGCGATTTTGCTCTTACACCGTCGAAAACCGATGACACCAGGGAAGGCCTACTTGCCGTAGTGAGCCACGAAAAAGACTTAGCCTTATATAGGTCCTAACGGCTGTGGTCACCCGTCACATAATTTTGTATCACGCGTTGCGGAAATATGTTTCTCCATATGATGTTACCTGTTCACGTACCTGTAGTCACGTGCGTACCTTAGTAGTTCCGGCCCTGTATACTTAGTCGTTCCTGCCTCATATATTATATATATGATTCATGTTTATTTGGAATTAAATTTTAAATTAAATTTATTTATGTAATGGATAATTCATTTTACTTATTCAAATAAATAAAATTAAAAACTGTACATTTGTTGTCTTTTCATTTTACATGTTGTCTAAAACAAAATACACCTGTGTAAACATACGGAGTAAGATTGCTTTTAAAGACACATTACAATCACTGTCTTTTGTTTATCTTATTACCTCGTGCGTTGGAAACTATATGGCTTCTAGAAAATGCTGTGTAAACACCATGGGTGTATAGTCTACCGATGTTGTTTTTACTTTTAGTTGATGAAAGACGTTGAATTTTTTTGTCATCACATCTTGTTGAAATCGATCTTTGTCGATCTTCCAAGTTTGAAGATGCAAATTTGAATGATTTCAACTAAACAGACAGTCGGCAACTAGAATAGAATGATTTTGATACGGATATTGGCGTTCCTACGGGCTGTGTCCAAGCTTTGTGCCCCAGGGTTTCCAGTGTGAAGTGTGTTAATGACAATGGACAAATAGTATTGTGAACTAATTGTGATCGAAAATTGTGAAATTTAATATCGGTAATGCTATTATGTTATTAATTCATGTTCTGCTACATAATTAAATAATGTATGAAAGTTAAATGTGTTTGGTTTGTCGTAATAATATGTGGACATATGTCATAATCTATTTTCACGAGGTATATTGTACTTTTCTAAACTAAGTTCGTAATTATTAAGAAATACTGTAAGCTATTAACTTATTTGCTATTTATTAAATATATGTTGTTATTGTTGATTGCATTAAATATTACATAATGAACAAAATGTATCATGTTTTTTCTTGTCTTTTGATCAATGTATCAATATATGAATAAAACATTGTCCGGATTAAGGGCGACAACCCGTACACTTGTACAATAGTTACATCGGAATTTATGTAAACATTCGATCCATTCATAAAACATAGTTCAATGGTGATATGTACAGGCAGGAACGACTAAGGGGCCGGAACTACTAAGGGGCCGGAACTACTAGGGACGGACCGGATAGGGGCCGGAACTACTAGGGACGGACCGGATAGGGGCCGGAACTACTAGGGACGGACCGGGTAGCGGCCAGAACTACTAGGGGGCCGGAACGACTTCGATACGCATATACACACCACACCCTATACGCTACTTTCCATCAGAGACGTATTATACGTCTCTGGTTCCATATAAAATTATTTTTGAAATTACCCCTGTATTTGCCTGTCTCTGTCTCCTTGCTGCGTGATAGGTCTACCCCAAAAACGATCGGGTAATGTTTGCTAAGATTGTGTTTGAATGAAATTCTTAAATAATTTACGTGTTCAGTGTCTTATAAAAAGTTGTTTACCTGTTTGAAACTTGCGCCTTCCGTCATCGTTGAAAGAGGAGCGGTAAACCACCTTATCGGAAGCCTCAGTTTCGTATTTCTTCACCGGAAATGAAGTATGTGAAAGTGAAAGTAGGAGTTTAATGCCACCATATACGTCTGGTAATAGCGCGATATTTACATTATTTTAAAAGGTTAAGCATTAGAAGGTAGATGGGGGTAAGTGGTGGAGAAAGGGATGTTCCTATGTTTTTCATAACTGAAGGTATTTCATCCTACTGCATGTACAACTTACAATATTTAGTCATTAAATGTTTTATCTTGATTTTTAAAAGTAATTTGATAAAATTGTATTATTACCCGTACAAATTCACCGACAGGTTATTGACATTTATTAGTTGTTTCAGACTGGTTATAAACTTGTATTAACAATAACAAACATATTAGGGACATTCATGAATCGTTTCAGGCTGGTTATCACAGACAATTTATTAGGAACATATTTTTTTATTTACTGTTTCATTGGTCATACACCTGTATTTATTACTTCTACTTCTAACTTCTAAATGGTACTGACAGTACAGTATTATCACAGACAGGCTATGGATATTTAATTATATTTCTTCAGATAGAATTGTTTTAACTATCACAGACATTAAGGAACATACTTATGTATTTGTTCTATGTTCTATCAATATATTATGTGTAAGGAACCTTAATTCATTGTTTCAAACTGGTTATACACTTGTATTTATACTTGTACTATCACAGACAAGAAGTAATATTTCTTTATTTAATACATGTGTTACAGATAAGTGATATTTCATCATCAGATGAATAAAGTCTTTGAGACACTGATCACTAGATATATTTTGTAGAGATACAATTGTATTTATTTGTGACCTAAAAGGCGTTTCACACGAGCCAGATATATTGTTACAGCATGCACTTTATTACCATTCAAGTATAAGATATCATGGTAAAACATATATTTATATTATGAGAAAATAAGCAACCCCCTCCCCCCAAAAACAACAATAGCAATATATATAGGAAACTCTCTGTAGTAAGTATAATTGCATGTGTAATATCAGCTGTCTGTGCTAGTAAGTACATGTGTAATACCTGTGTTAGTATATATCATGTGTAAATAAATATCATGTATAATACATGTCTGTGTTAGTATATATCATGTGTAATACATGTCTGTGTTAGTATATATCATGTGTAATACCTGTCTGTGTTAGTATATATCATGGGTAATACCTGTCTGTGTTAGTATATATCATGTTTAATACCTGTCTGTGTTAGTATATATCATGGGTAATACCTGTCTGTGTTAGTATATATCATGGGTAATACCTGTCTGTGTTAGTATATATCATGGGTAATACCTGTCTGTGTTAGTATATATCATGTTTAATACCTGTCTGTGTTAGTATATATCATGTGTAATACATGTCTGTGTTAGTATATATCATGTGTAATAAATGTCTGTGTTAGTATATATCATGTGTAATCCCTGTCTGTGTTAGTATATATCATGTGTAATAAATGTCTGTGTTAGTATATATCATGTGTAATACCTGTCTGCGTTAGTATATATCATGTGTAATCCCTGTCTGTGTTAGTATATATCATGTGTAATACCTGTCTGTTTTAGTATATATCATGCGTAATACCTGTCTGTGTTAGTATATATCATGTTTAATACCTGTCTGTGTTAGTATATATCATGGGTAATACCTGTCTGTGTTAGTATATATCATCCCCCATACCTGTCTGTATTAGTATATATCATGTGTAATACCTGTCTGTATTAGTATATATTGAAGCGGTTGATTCTTTGTTAATTACATTGTTCAACAAATGATCGTTAGTATAGACTTGCTTTAGTTATTTCTTTTTGATTAGGAAGCAAGAGTAGTTTTAATTGGCTAATGAAAGAAGGCAGTTCATTGGAGGGCTAGGTATATAAATAGAGGTTCCATCGTATGAAAAGCTCAACTACACGCACATTCTCACACACACCCACATATACGTACAAACGCATCCCTTCTCACCCCCAACCATAACAAAACCTTTTGGACACACAATTCTGCTCAGGGAGGATCGAAATTCACTCGAACCAGCTCATAGAAAACACCCCCTACTTTTAACACATAACCAATCAAAACCGAGCTTACAAAACAGGTCCTCTATCACGGCCTAGTCAAACATATATAGCGGAGGGAAAAAAAATTGAACAGAATCTAGCTCAGGTAGGATCGAAATATTTACAACAACCACTCGAACCCGATAGCTCCCTGAAAACACCCCCGACTTTCTCAATAACATAAATTTCAATCCAATACCAATTAGAACCTGAAAAATTTCCAATCAACCCCTACTCGACCATTGAGCCGCTCTATACTAATAATTATCACCAACCTCAAAATCAATCAGGCCCTGGTATCCACAGTATAACAACATAACCCCTCCCCCTCATCAACTCCANCCCCAACACCCCATAACTGCACCACCCCAACTCTCCTCTACCTACTGATAACTCTCACCAATGCACAATTCGTCGCACCTACCTTTCCCGTCCCATCTCCAACAATCTTATACTAATACTCACAAAATAATTATAAAAGTCAGAAAAGTGAACAGTTACAGACGAAAGCTAAAGGAAAGTTTTATAAGAAAGAGAACATTGATACTGAAGAAAAGTTTTTCATCAAGTGCAAGAATGGATACGGTTACAAGAATGGACGCCATAAACAAGATTAACTATCACCTGCATGACACTAACCACTCACCACCAACTCACAGTCCGGCGGAAGGGACTATAAACGATGTCCCGTGTAGGAGGGTCCAACCTGCACGTAAAAAATCCCTCTGTGTATTGTCGAAAGAGTAGGCGCGTTAACGCCGGCACAGAGGATAGGGATATATTAGATTACATTTATTCTCGACGATTCGACGGACTTCCAAAATATAGGAACAAAACAAAACACAAAATAGAGTAGGATATAAGTAAAGGACAGCCTGGATACGGTACGCCCTCCTCCTAGACCAACGCCACGATATGATACGACCGGAGATCTCCCCATCCTTTTTTATATAATAAAAAATCCAATAAGACACATATATTATAAGCCCAACAACTTATAGACCCCCATAAGACCATCTACTAACAACCATTTTGTATTTTTATTTCTTTATTTTTATTTAAAAAAAAAAGAAAAGACATACACCAAAGAATTAAGGGTAAATATCTGCATACACCATAGGGACCCCTCGGAAAATCTCAAACTCCGGCCAAGTCTGACAAGGAAACAAAGTACTGTACCTAACGGAAGCAGAGACATTTCCCTACTGTCGGGCTCAACCGGCAGTAGGGAAACCTTTTTAAAGATGTTAGTAGACTAAGAACAGGAATATATGCAATAAATTCACTTTAAAAAATAAACAAATATTTTTTATTTTTTATGTACATAATTNATATTTGAAGTTCTAAATTTGCAGATAATTTTCCTATCTTTTGCGTTTAATCTGATCAAATAGTCTTCTAAACCAAAGCGATATTTAAATGTAGAGTACAATCGTCCTATGGATGAGGTGTCAACTTTTNCAAGATAAGGATAGGATAGAATAGACGACTCCAAACCACCCCCCGAGGGAAGGCAACTTCCCTCACGCCGACTGAACACTGACTTCCGTCAGTGAGATGAAACCCGTAAGGGCGGATTCATGTAGGCGCGAAACCCGTCATCCACCCATCCATCCTATGAAAAGCTCTCTCTCTTGCTCTGGCGGTCGAAGAAGAAGGAACATCTCTAAAAAGGTAATCAGTGACCAAGCTGTATAAGTTTGGGCCTAGCTGCATAAGCTAGGGTTCCACTGTATTCCTTTATAGTACATGGTCAAAATAAATTGTTTTACTGGATAGTGTGCATAGTCACAGGGTATCACAGTACAGGGCGACGTACTGTTGATACAGAGTGACAGGTATCAAGACGCAGGGTTTACCAAGGCATAGGTGTCGTAGTGACTAGGGTGACTTGGTCAAAAGGCAGTCGCGGTAAAGGGTGACGTGGTCAAGGTGTGTCGCGGTAAAAGGTGAACACAGTCACGGGTGTCGCAGTAAGGGGCTACTGACTGTTGATACAGGGTGACGAATATCTTGTGATACAAGATTTCAAGATTTTTTTCAAGATTTTTATTTCACTCAGACTCACATAATATGTGTGACAAGAGGTCATGTATATATAACATAGTTTGAGTGCATGACAGGCAAACATTCTATATCATAGCATAGTACATAATAATATATATACGTGTAGTTACATACAAATAATTCAGTGTTCAACTTATATAAAATGTCACTAGCAAACAAAAGAAAAACTTCAAGAATAGAGACACTAAAGTACTTTTGTTAATTTTTGAACAAATAAGCTTACACTTTTTAACAATTTCATATTAAAGATTGTGAGCATTCCTTTCATTTTATGTTGGTTTGGACTTGTATAAAAATAGGCCGGAATATGTTTTTCCCTTATTTTGACTAAAGTGTCGTTATTACAAGTATATAAGTAATGATACTCGTCCCCAATACCAGTATTACAAAGTGGGCATATTCTGTCCTGTCTTTGAATTCCCACCCATCTTCCTGTTTCTACTGGAAGCTTAATATTTGAAGTTCTAAATTTGCAGATAATTTTCCTATCTTTTGCGTTTAATCTGATCAAATAGTCTTCTAAACCAAAGCGATATTTAAATGTAGAGTATAATCGTCCTCTGGATGAGGTGTCAATTTTATTAAACCAGGATTGAATAAACTGATCGTGTAATTTATGTATAATTGCAGCTTTTAAATAAGTAATATCGGGCAGACAGGTTTT